AAGTTTTGTACAGCGCCCCGCCGCACCGTGTCCCAACACCTACGAGCAACGGCAAGTACGACTGCCTTCGAAAACACCTAAGCAGACCACAGTCATGTAGCCACCACGCAGGCAAGCGGTCTGTGTGTTCATCATCACTAGATAGGTCAAGCTTGCCCCGTCGACGTTGCCACCATAACCACCACCGCCATTGCTCCTCACTCTTGCCACCTTTCTAGGTTCATTTTGGCGCCCAACATCCCCATCCTACACGATGAAATGACGCCATTTCCGGTGGTCACTCCGCCCGAGGCTGTGTGAGGGATCAAACTGTTGACCGACCGTTGAAGCGCTCATGCCAACGTCAGACGGCAGAAGACACCTGTACACCGAAGATACACGCTCGTGAAGGTCTGCAGGGAGTGGGAGGAGGTCTGCAGGGAGTGGGAGGAGGTCTGCAGGAAGGTTTGTTACAGAGGGTAGGCAAAAAACTGGGGTAGTTCCTTAAAGCTCGAGCTGCTGGACCATCGCCACCTTACTGTTAACTACTGTATGGAATGTGTCGATGGGCGAAAGGGAAGGGACACCCTCAAAACCAAGAAGCTAGTGACAGCCAGCTGTGAAAATAGAATCGGTTGCGTCGCTGTAAAAACGCAACGATATGATTATTGTACAAAGGCCAAGCCATGTAGCTGATCTATAGCTGCGGGAAACATATGGTCGGTGCCAAGCAAAGAGTAAGGCCATTGTTAGAGGAACAAAATTGCTTTTGGTTTTCGGATTTCTGGGAGAATATATAGACAGTGTTATCGGATTAAGCTTTTCTTGGACCATGCAAGTCTCTAGAAATTTGCTCAGCGTAACAATGCGACAAAAAATACATCATCATAGTATTTTGCCATCATAATTTTAGTATATTGTACTTTTACTGAGGGTTAGGCGGAGAACGACAGAGGCTCTAGCATCATGGTTAGTCACGGTACACATGCAGAGACTTAACTAATTTTTCCATAATTTTATATGTCGCTGACTTGCTTGTCTATGATTACCTTAACTACATTGTTCCTCATCATAACTAATATTTCTGCAAAAAGCGGTGAGAATACTTTCTGCATGAAAATTATTATCGACGATGTAAGAGATTGACGTCACCTGTATCTAGGCCACCAATGTGCCAGACGTAACCCTGGACCACTTACGGTATAGTCAGTGTACCACCAGCCTACTGTTTATTCTTCGCGACCAGTGTCACGTCTCTATGAAAATATTAGGTAGGTGAGGAAATAATTTATGCTGTTCAATTTACCTGTTTGGTGTTTGGAGCTTGGGGCGCTCATTCTATGGACTACTTTACATTTGCAGTATTGCTTTCATCTTGTCTTGGTTTGCTCTTAACAGTTTTCCTTGTTATTTAAATCGCTTGTAGCCATCAAAAGTCTCATTATACTTGACTCACAATGAGGAAGTATCCGCTCGTTCATGAAGCATTTACCACTTTTAAGGAATTTCCTTTGCGACTAAGACATGGAACGAAACAAACTGTATATCCGACACTGTTTTTGTTAAATACATTTTCATTGAAGAAGGTGGTGTGTGATGTTAAAAATTAAATAGTAGTTTTCGCCAAAGCTGTATGTCAACGCTATAGGATTGAAGCTTTTTTTTTTTTTTTTTATTGAAATCCGAAGTCATACGCCGAATAGCTAGGAAAAGGCTAATTACGAACTGTAGAAAAGATATTTTTTAAAATATTCGTTTACGAAAGAAATAATGGTTAGAACGATAGAGACCCAGGCAGCCCTCCATATCGACACTATCTGAACGCGAGGGTATGGTGAATGTAGACCACGACTCGGCAGAAGTTATCAAACTGAAGAAGAAACAAAGAAACAAGAAATGATAGTTCCCAATCGGATATGTCGGGCCAATGCGTAATTACAGGAGTGGTTTTGTTGTGCGTCGACAACATAACGCGACCTCAAAAGGCTTGGGCTATCTGGAAAGCTTCATGATACAGAACTTCTTTCTTTATCTAGCTTATGACCCGACATCGCTGTATCGCTCTCTAAACGACTTCGAATGACTACGACTGAATTCGAGCGGCAGAAACACCGAAACTAATTTTAGATATATCGCCTCTATATATGCTTTTTTTTTCTTCGTCTTCTGCGATGCGTTGCTTGTTAGAACGATATGGAAAAGCCAAGCATGCAAATTCTCAGCTTTTTCTAAAAGTTAATAGCAATAAACGTGAGCTGAAACAATGACGTTTCGGCCTAACTGATCTAGTAATAGCGTAAAGTACTTCCCTGCATTCGTTTTTCCTTTGAGCTGCAGGAGTGACGCATATATATTACTGAACACAAGCAATCGATAAAGCAATCTTTATAACACTTGAGTAAGGCAAACCGCGTTCCACCATTGTGCTTCAGTGCGCATTTGCTTCTGGCGATGCTGATAGTTATTTTCGAGGCCAACGCGTGCCTGCGTTGCCTTATAATAAAAATCTATCATCAGTGTTAGCGCCCTTTGACTCAAACATTAATAATATATAGAGCCGCAAAGGATTCCCTACAACACTTCCTAGTTCCACTAAATTTCCTAGTCGTATTATGTCGTCGATGCTTCTATTAAATGCGCTAGTGCCATATCTATTCGCACCAGCCGCGTTGTTATAAGTAAAAGTCGTCCACTCTGAGCTGATGAAGCGTTTTTTACATTGATATTATTATAATAGCTCACAATAAGCGAGTATTTCGACGGTGCAAGTCTAATGGTTTTCACGATGGATCCAACGAACCCACAAGCCAATGAGCGTAACTCGGCTCATTGTAAATAACCCTTTACTTCCATGCCCGGCGCGCTACCAAGTTGCTTTGCCATTAGCGCCCTTTATCCTGTCGCTTTGCCAGCTGTACTGAAGCCGCCTGGGTCGGTCTGATCCTGGCCAAACCAACCCCCATGCCATCCTGCCCCTCGCGCATCCAAACTAACGCATGGCTGTCCTGTACACTCATCAGGGCATGGGTTAAACGCGTTACTGTTTTAATTTGCGACTGCAATTCTGTAACATAGACCCAGCATGGTCGAGCAGGACTGCACGTAAAAGGACAGCAGAGGAAAACAAGTTGCGACCGTCTTCAAGAAGCACACAGGAAAGGTTCACAGCCCCTCGTGGCTGGCATCGTTAAAATGAGCGATTGACATCAGCGCACTTTCAAGCTGTCCAGTGGCCGCATAAATAAACGGTCACCGCCGTAATGGATGAGCCGGTAGCCGTGCTGAAGATAGAGAAGGGGGTCGGGACGATGGCGACAGTGCGACGATACGAATCGAACGAAAGCAGGTATGGACGAAGTGAAGCCAGAGTACGGATACAAACGTATACAATACGAGGATAAATTACATATGAACCGCAGTTTATTAAAACGGCCACAGTACAGACGTCGAACCACATATAGGCCGCTTTTATTACGGGCATGTAATATATAGGCTGATAGCCAACGTTACACAAAGCAGATGAACGAAGGTCTGTAATGATAGATTAAGCGTTCAATGACGCCCAACAAAAGATATGTTACGATATCGCAAAAATACTTCACTTAAATAATAGGTTAAAGAAAACATCTTCCTGAACCTATTGTGATTTAACAACTGGCTTTTCTCAGCTAGTAAAGTTCGTACTTGCGGTAATCGATACGTTGAATGCCGAATAGGAATAAAGTTGACAACCCCTTCTCCGTATAAATAATCTACCGCTTTTTTAAGCAGTTCAGTTAACTTAAAATAGGTGACAAGCAACGTTTAGGTTAGGCAGCAATAGGCCAAGGATGCCGTAGTATAAAACATTTTAATTGGATGTACTCTCGCCCATATCACCAGTCCAAGCTCGCCCTGCTAAACGTAGGTAGAACGCTAATTTAAGGTAAACGCATATAGCAAAAACCTAGATGTTTCGTCTAATTGATCGTAAGCCAGATGTTTGTTGTACGGCATAAGATAACAACGAACATCTGCTTTGCACTACATTAGCAGACTCAACATGTAGCGAGTTTATCTTCTATAGAACATCTAATAGATCCATCAATAACAAATTTCAACTGCTGCGTCACTGTGAGATAAAAGCCCGCTTTGAGAGCTACTAGTGCTATTGCTTCGTCCTTTTTTGCGGGTTTTCGAGAGCGGACAGCTGTCCGTGTTCGGCGACAGTACCGCAACAGAGAAAACAATGCAGCAGAACGCGGTAAGACATTCACGGCGAATATCGGGAAAATCGATTTGGCAACGGCGACAGTTCGTAGCGATAACTGCTAGAAGACAATGAAAACTCCTTATATCCCTTCGCAAACTGCTCATGTGGGGGGAACCCACCGAAAGAAAGAGAGAGAACGTCAGAAGGCAGCCAATGTTGGTTTGTTTTTTCGTTTCGTCTGCTACGTCGTGGCAACTACTTCGATACATTGGGCCGTGAGCGACAAGCAATGGCCGATGAACGGGATCGTTAGGGGTCAGCTGCGTCGCGAACTCAAAAATGACCAATTATTGTACCCGTAGACGAGAGAGGACGAGACGAATCAGAACACAATACGTTGTTACCTTAAACTCGGCCTATGCTACTAGCCCGTCTCGATAGCCAAGTGGGCCTAGATAGGCCGGTGCGCTGTTCATCCTTCTTACAATTTTCGGTTGTCTTTTTTTTTGCACATTACTCTCGAAGAACCGTTGCGGCTAAAAAAAGATATAAGCGCAGTATATAGCTCAGGCGAGCTGCTACATCTTTTTTATTTATGAAAGATCTGTCGCTTTAAAATTAAAAAAAAAAAACATCATTATACTATTCACGTATAAAAGATGTTTCAGTGTTGTCTCATCTGGTAAAGCTGGTTATTTTTGTAGGGCACTTCGCGCCGCATGTCGACTGTTGCGGATTTTGTACCCTATTAGGTACCGTTACTAAAATAAAAGACGACGATTAGTTGATCTAATGAATAAAAGCCGCTATTTTTCAATGTGTATTGCAGTTGAGTTAATTTATCTGGGGAGCAAGTTTGATCCGGCGAAGCGTCAAAAGGATCTACTTCATTCGATGGATTCCTGTTGTGCATTTTACCTGTTTCGTACGTATATTTGTGACATTTATGGTATAGTATAAGTTCTTTTAAGTAATTGGACAAATTATACATCTAAATGTTAACTTACAAAAGAAGAAGCGATTTAATATAAGTTTAGGAAGCGAAACCGGACATAGAAATAAGTACATGGCATATATAGCACTATTTAAGTCGCTCTATATTTCTTCTGCATTAGAAATTTGAGAGATCCATAAAAAAAATGCTAGTACTAGCTCAGAAATGTAATATTTCTTGGGTGCCCATCACAGAATAAGTAATGCGAGCTGGGCTGGTATTCGAACCGAAAACGTTCGATTGAGCTAATGCGTCCAGTGCGTCATCTATGATTTATCCAAATATTTTCTGTACTCAACGCCGTCGAGATATAGGCCCGCCAGGCACCCTCTACTGTTGACTGTCTCACATTTCCTTCGTTGTCCTATTACACTCACCTATCTGAACTGTAGTTTGCCAGCTTTTGCTAGTGAATAACTCAATAACATTATTCCTGCAAATTTTCTTTTTATTCTATCTGTCCTGATGATCAGTCGTTCACAATTGTCAGGTCTAATTCAACGAAAAACAGACGTTCTAGGTCGAGTTTTGTTCTAAGTAGTTTCACACTCCTCATTGTACAGCTAAATCCGGCGGATCAGCTTCGTCCCTTTTTTGGCGTTGAAACAACTGGAGCAGCGTTCCTGACGGCTGGCCCTAGGGTACTGCGCTACCGCTGCTTCCGCCGCTGGATGTTGGTAAACGCTGGCCGACGTTGGTGTCATTTAGCGCAGTGCTAGAACGTGGAGACGAGAGAGGTGGAGCTGAGTACCGAAGCGCTGCAAGGTAAAAAGTAGCATCTACCCTTGTACGGGGGCCTTCAAAGCACAGAAAACACCATTACTACCGCGTTTTCTGACGTCTTCATGTTCACGCAGCAAGATACCACCCGCGGCAGCCGAAGGGACCGGAACAGAAGCAAAGGCAGCTACGCGGCATCAGCGCTTCTATGCAACAGTGAAAGATGAGAGAACAGTGAATGGTAAAGGACGAACAAAAAGAAGAGGGAGTTACGAAGAAAAAAAGGAACTCGTTTAGCCCCAAGGCAACAACTCGAGGTTGCAGCTTCCGTAGCCAGCCGCTTCTGCCAACGTCTCCAGTGGTCAACGCCACTGCTGCTACTATTTCTGCGGTGTGCCCGACGGCCTCAAATAGCGTCAGTTCACGCGTTGAGGACTTCGAAGGAGAGAAAAGCCAAGAGAGGGAGCTGGGGTATTTATTATACATACGGAAAAGATCTGCTCGCTTTTGCCGGGATCTCTCGCGCGTTTTCTACCGGTACCTGCTGCTGCGGCGACGGCAGCAATATCCCCGCACCCGCAAGGTTGCTGATATTAGGTTCATCCGAACGCTTGAGGTCATTGAAGGTATTGGGCTGATGCTAATGCTACTGTCTGAACAGCTGTTCATAGAAGCCGCGCTACAGGGTACTTCGGCCTAATAAAACCCGTTTATTTCCTTATGCGATAATCTATGAGAAACTGTGTTTTTATTTTATTTTACTCATCAAAATAATAATACCTGATTATGGGGGTGAATCTAAATCCCGTCAAAAATGGTAAAGGTAAACAAATCGTGCAGCTAGGTGCTACCAATGCCGTGTAGTAAGTACACCATCCTTTGCCTTAATTGCCACAGGTGACATTGGCGATGCCTATGATGCTCGCACGGGCAAACTAAAAATTTACACATAATCGCAAACTTTAAACAAAGTTTGCGATTATGTGTAAATTTAATTTGCAGCCAATAGTGGACATTTTCTAGTCGTTCTATGAGAACTTCTGTCAGCATGACTCTTGAACGACAAATGATCACTTGCCACAAAACTTGTCAATTCACGCTGTCGAAAATCTCCGTTGACGTCGGATACCACCGAGACTGAATAGGGGGGACTGCTGCACAAGGGATCAGACTTGGTTAGGGATAGCAGTGCGACGAGGCCGTGTCTAATCGTGGCATTATCATTCTTTGAACGGTGTTCTTCGGCGGGAAAAAAACTATCTCAATTTATATTTCTGACCTATTGCACCATTTACTTAGGCTCTTTCTTGCTTCGATATGTCATTGACCTGCCGCAGTGATGCTGAAGCTCAACAACATTGTCGTCTTTCCCAAAACGTCCATCTATCGTGTCTTTCCTTGTTCACTTTGGCGTCGAGACGGAACTATTTGTCCAAAACAAACGTCTAAATTATAGTTGAGCCGTTAATATAACAAGTGTTTAAGTTGGTCATCGAGCAGAGTCGAGCCAGTGCCTCTCCGTATAAACACACGTCTGATATATATTTTCTTATATATGCCATTCATTCGCAGATTTGCTTTGGGTACTCTTTTTGATAAGATATACAGCCAATGTTGCTCATCCAAATCGTATGGGTTTATTTTAAACAATTCGCCGATTAAACCACCAATCGCTCCTAAGGCCTTGCTGGCAGAGCGTGAGGCCCAATATTTATATATGTGTGTGGCACTTCTGCCTGAGTTGATTCAACTTTCGGCCTGAAGCTATTGCTTTCGTCGAATCCATCTGTGATATGTTTGCTAAGCAATCCAGTTCTACGAGCTTAAAAACTGGACCATATTCCAAATAGGACAATGTATATATGTGCTTAATGTTTAACTAGTTGGAGCGGTTGTTGTTACTAGATAGCCTTATATCTACATCTTATCAACCAATAGTTGTTTGGTTACTAGACACAATTCAGACCCGGAATCGGCATTCGATAAGGAGCAGTTGTCGCTGCCCCGCGTCGCCGTCATCGCACCCCGTCATAAAATTGTTGGGATTATTAAAACTCGTAGACTTCTCATTATTATCACGTATCTTCTCCTTTGTCTCCCAGTCCTCAACGCATATACCTGCGTCTAAGTATTATGACGCTTCCATCACGGAAGTGCATCTAGGCAGGCAACATACAGCAGTAGACGTAACCCATGATGTCCTAGATCACGGTGGCCTAGGGCCAATGACATTGTCCCGGGTATAGCTTAGGGGCTGTGTACTGCATATAGTGCGCGTTGCCCCGGTACAGTCACGCCGTGCATTCATTCCTCCTCCATATCACTCTCTTGTAAAGTAGAAGACAACTTAGTTAGCATTTCTGGAACAACTCCGGTTATTTGCGTCGTTCAGTAGTACGTTCAGCGGTACTAACAGGAACAGCAGCAATTGTGCCAACCATTTCCATTTCTGGCCAACCCCTTTTGGTTTCCTTCCGATTTGGGTCTAGTATGCTAACTTATTTTTTTTCGTTAGGTGGTCGATTGTTGACTGCCTGTGTCTGCAGGGGATGCAGCGATGGCGTCGACGAGTCTTACGGCGGCCGGGGAGCGGCGTTGCTAGTTTGACCCACCATTACCATTACAGTTACGACTACCAATAAATTACCCACCAACTAGAACCCCTTCCCTTGGTATTCCACTCTTTTTCCTGCCGGCTCTCTTTGTTTAACTCACATACAGCTGTCCCGGTTAGGCTTGCGCGCCCATACGGGAATGGGTTGACAGTTTTCTGACTCAAGTCCAAGACGGTAGCGTTCGTCAGTTCTAGACAGACCTACTCATCTGTTGTAGGTTGTTGCCATTGATGTTTCCATGAGATGGTATTATGGAAAATGGTATTAACTATAGAGTGAGTTCTTTGATGTTTGATGTTTTCATTTCGAAACACGTAGAGATTAAGTAAGAGTTAATCTGAACAAGAAAAAACGAGAAAAACAAATATCTAGATATATGTTTAGATTCAAGCGATTCGAACTAATTTACAACCTGTCGATTTAAGCAAAAGGCAGTTTAATCTGGGTTAACAAATATATTATTCTGCTGTTTTGTTCTAAGTTACAAGGTTAACGAGTGCGTGTTATACTAGAGTCCTGATGTTTTTGCCAAATTCGTTTTTGGCCTTGCGCCCTGACCTAGACCTTAGTAAAACTGATGAATTTTGATTATAAATAAGTTTCGCGAATTTGAAATCTACGTCTATTGAGGCAGAGTATATTTTAATTCAAGAAAAATAAAACAGAAGCAATAGGTTTGTACGAGTTTGTGTGAATTTAGAAAAATATTAGCTCTGTAAATATCCCTATGTGTTTCCGAAGCTACTGTGTAATTACTGTGCCTTTGAGTGTTGCCAATAATCTACACACTTCATGGGGTTTTAAAAGTGATAAACGAGGCACAATTTGGCTGTGCATATTGTCTTTGCTTCGACGCGTTCTTTTTTTCGGTTTTTCTTCTCATCGTGTACCCAATATTTATAACCTAAAGAAGGGGGTCAGACACTTAGGCCAGAATACGTCTATTTAGAAGACCGAATCCAGCAACGTCGACCCCAAGCTTTGCGTAAGCTCTGTTATGATCATGTAGGTTTGTACAAGTTTATTGTATTAAATGTTAGTTATATATGCCAGGTATTCTACAATTATCATACAACGTACGTACATATATATCTATCCGGTCGCACAATTTGTAACAGCATTTTTTGGGTCATTCGGCGTTGGCCAAGTACATTAAACCCATTCTTGTCCTACAGAGACAAAAGTGATTCTTTCAAAATGGCTAATAGTATATCAAGAACACATAATTCCCGTGGTGCGCCTTCCCTTCCTATGCACACTTATAGTTAAGCCACTTGGTTCGACTGTTAAAATAGTTTTCAATACATTTACCTATAATCGATAAATAATTATCGATGAGTAGACGCAAAAAAGTATTAGCTCAATATGTATGTTAGAATAGCTCATATGTAAGATATGTCTCTTGCGGACTTGACCAGCTCCATGAGCGTTTTTGCTTCCGCTATATGGGCTTTTGCAGCGCTACAAGATTATAGGCTCGAGTGCTCAATTAGAACAGGTTTGAGTGCTTATCTCATTATCTCTCTTTTTGAAATTAAGGTGGGTTGCTATTAAGAAGTAGTGGGCAGGTAAAACAGTGATAATAATACCAAACCAAGTCAATAAAAGAACAGTATTTTGTCCTTAACTAATAGTAGTATTGAGACTCTGCCACACCTGATACCGTCAAGCCCTTTTTTAGAAGGAAAGACATCAGTTTTCATGTTTGTTGGTACAAATTCAATATTTATAAATCAGAAAAATCTACGGCAAACAGGTAAGCGTAAATATGCTAAAAAGTCGCAGTAGAAAAGCGAATGATTGTTGTTTTTATTGTCATTACTAACATTGTTATTACTGTTACTACATATTCTTCTGGTGGAATGTCGTTGTTTTTACATGTAATAGTATTATATGACTGCAATCGATGCGTATTTCGTGTATTGTGGAATGCTGGCTGTATGTTTGATTCGACGTACTGCACGTAGCATTAGACGTCAAACCGTCGACGGTTCTTACTCCCTTTGAGCGAATGAGAGGCAGCACCAAACGAGAAAGTTAGACTATTCCACGCGAGTAGCTGCTTCCAATCTACGCTCGGTTTGAGCGGATATTGTCCCATCCGATCGAGCCGGTGGCGGCGGCGGCATACGACCCTTCCACCCGCTTCGAATACTCCATCGGCTGTAGTTCGATATCGCGCAGCGTACGACATAATTTCAGTTTCAGATTGTTACCCTTTCCGCGTATCGCTCAAGTTGACTGTTGTGAATATCCCAGAAAGAACTTCCTGTTGCTAATGCAGTGTGTATTAGCTTTATTGCATCATTGTATTCGGCTGAAATGATAGACCTCAAGTGGTCCGGTCGGAAGATACGTACTGGTCTATAATTTTTGCTTTTCACATTAACGTTAGAGAACCGCCGATAGAATAACTTCTAGTTTTTCTCCAATTTTTCTGTTCAGTAGCTCATTCCAACGGCTAATGGCACGGTAGACACTCTGATCTCTAGGAAAAACGACGACGTGACGAACTTGTCACTTAAATAAAGCCTGGACGCATAAGCCAGTGAACGGTGTTGATACGAACTTATGTACGTCCTTTATAAGACCCGGCAAGTCGAATTCTTTGTAGCTCGACAGATATTTCACTATACGTGTCGAATAATTAAATCAACCATGTCGTATATGTGACCAGTCGTTTGCAGCCGACACAAGGAAGTAAAAAGGTTTTTTCTCAAATAATTTCAGGAAAAATCAACCTTATAGGGTTTCTACATTGTAAAAACGTTAGCAGTAGGCCTGGTTGGCAGCTAAGACACATATTTGGTTCAGGAATATCTTGTATTTAGATGTGTACATCGCTGCGAATATCAGTAACAATTACTCAAATGTTTGCCGCTATCAATGATTGTATTGGAACATCTGGTTTACCCTGTCAGTGAACTTTAGCCGTGAAATGTAGTCGGCAAAAAAATAGAGAACAGTTTCATACGTCTCCGTCTCTGCTGCCAAACAGGACTTCTCAAATAGGGACAAAACCACTAATCCGGGTAATGGGCAGTATCTGTTTCAATAGTATACACAATGGATAAAGTATCTATTGTGTATACTATTATCTAATTAATGTGTACTACCGTCCTAAAGGACCTGTGGCATGCGTAGCGTCCTTCGTATATGGGTTAGACGATTGTCAGAGTCGGCATCGTGCTTATAAAAAACCAGTACATAGTGAATACATAGTGAACCAGTACATAGAAATTTATTACGACTAAAATATTTTTGGCTACACTCTTGTTGAATAAAGCTGTCGTTATTTTTTACCTACAATATTTAGTTCTTATTTGTACTTACGTGGTTTGCCGGGAAACGTCTCCTTCAGACGAACCAATTTGTCCTAATTTAGTAACAGCTCAGATAGTTTTTTTATTATTTAAATTAATATTTCACACGTTTCACAATATTTTTTTAAGCGTAAAATTTTTCTTATAGATCTATTTTTAGTTTATGAAGTTCGAGCAGTGTACGTATCACGCAAACTACGACTATGCTTTTCTTTCGGAAGCCGCCGCTGTATTGATATAGCATCAGGAAGTTAGAAACTAAATGTACTAATGAAACTTCACTGCAATATACTAGTTAGTACGTACAATGTCTAGTAATATGAAAAATGTCTTTCTATTTGTAGAGGATCTTTATAACGTCGCCGTTTATTCGAACATTAAGTCATATGGAAGATGTCTATCTTCGTAGAATGAGCTATTGAAATTGAGTAGAAGTACCGTGTTGTTGCCTCTCGAACAGTTCCACTAAATGTTTATTGCTTTAGCAATATTCACATAATAGATGAAATCTTAATTTTCTTTATAATAATAGCTTAAAAGAGTTTTTAGAAAAATAAATTACGCTCTTCTTTCTGATCGGCTGAAAGGCTTCTCGATTGTTTAAAGCCTTAATGTGCCTTCAATTTTTCCTTCATTTCTAAAAATGTTTTTAAGTTCGATGTTGACTTTTGAAGATATACAATTCTTTAACTGCTAGCGTATGTTCTTTTAGACTCTAAATCAACCTTTGAAGCTGATTTCCACCGATCGATTGATTCTACACCAGCATATTTCACGAGCACGGGGGAAAGGACATTCCAAGTAGATTGATGCTAGAGCGCACTGCAGTGACTTAACCTGATCGATCGACGCTTACGAAGGCCGATCCGGTTAAAAATTCAGTTAAGATGCTAGTTTCAAAGGTTCTGCTTGCAATCTTAGCTTGAGGTGCATGCTAGCCCTCTGTATGAGAAACGAGCGGTCACTTGGAAAACTCAACTTGAGTGTGAAACTAGTTTTTCAGAAGGGAACTTGTGGAAAGAGGCAAACTGCCGCAGCCTCATATAATTATTCCGTTCTAACCTAAGCAGACTGTCGATGTAACGCGTAGATTGCTTTCAAAGAATGCAGATCGTCTACAAATCAAAAGCAATTTGGGGCGGATTCTGTTGGCGCTCGCCTTTGGTAAGCAACCAAGCGAGGAACACATAGCGACCTTAACGCCTCGAGCCAGACAGTTAATCTTGAAAAGAATAGAAATAGATCAGTAGGCTTTACTGAGAAGTAGGTTCTGTTGTTTATGAAACTAGCTTATTTTTGTTTATTAAGTTATGGATTGTTTATTAAACGACTACAGTTTTCACAAGGTTCGAAGTTTATCAGTGCGTTTTTGAAGGGGTCAACGAGAAGATTTTCACAACGCTGTTTTTGTCAATAAACAATCACGTTCTAGAACTTCTTCGACTTGAATATCGATCGCGTTCGCTGATCATCAGTTGTAATACAGTTGGCGATTTCGTGTTATGTTTGCTAGCCCCCAATATGTTAACGTTTGTCTTACTGAATCCCCATCAAAAAGTGATATCGGGCACGATAAAGACTCGACGATAAGACAAAGCCTTAACTAACACAGCATATTCACTTACTTAACTAATTTCAAGGCAAGTGGCAGTGTAAACCTTTCCTGTTTCCGCTCCTTCGTCCTGCAATGTCCTGCTTGCATCCTGGTCTTTGCTTGTCCATCGGCGGTAGTAGTGATGCTGGTTGTGATACTATATTAGAAGCAGGAGCATGTTTGGTCGGCTGCCCAGCCTGTGTCTCATCAGGGTTGGTTCTAATTCTCCTTGGAAAGAACGCAGCTGATCACAGACGATCATGCGCCCACCGGAAGTTACTCATACACTCAAATTCAGTTAGCCAGAGGTAGATGAATAAAGAGACAACGTTCAATGTCTAGTTTAGACCTTTGCGCAGGCCTTCTGTGAAAGCTACTAGCCCACTTTAAACAAGCATGGCCCGACTCGTTTAGAGCTCATGCCACCACAGACATCAAATCCCCTTAGAGTAGAACAGATTGCTCATTGGTCCTCTTTGTCGCTGCTGTCGTGCGAGGCAAACATGGAAACAACCTAAAGGTTTTTCACTGCCCTGGCAAAATGACCAAGTTGAAAGGGTAGCTGGTTACTAAATAGAACGCAAACATTCAAGTTCATATAAGGTACAGTTTTCGCTTGCACAAAGTTTAGCTAGCTCGCCATAGTTAATACCACTATAAAATCTCCAATTCGGTTGAATAAATTTAACAAATGTCTGAGTAAATGCTTTTCTTCTACCTAGACATATCTTATTGTCTTCGTTCGCTGACTTATGCCGCTTTTTTGAGCTCTTTCCGACTTCTCGTAGCTCTGGTTCAATTAAATACATTGTTTAAAAAGTTTACTCATATATATATATATAGTAATTAACAGCGCGTAAACAATGCGTTGTGCTCGATATTTCTAATGCATATTATATACAACTACGATTTCGTACTTCGTACGTCTCACACGTGGATAATTTAACACATTTCCTATCTGCCAAATCTTACATTTCTTTAAGATACGTAAGTTGACTTCGTCATATATATACATATGGTTGCTAGCCGTAGTTACAGTAACTTGCGAATGCAGTTCAAGGCTTGTTTCCTCCGTGATTACCCTGACTTTTCCACTGGCTTTTCTCAACGAGTCTAGTGGCACGACCAGCCTGTAGCCGACGGTCGTCCGTTCGTTTCTGTGCTATTATTGTATTAATCAGAAACATTCATTTGATTTGCCCCCCCTTAAGCAGCTTTGTTCTACAACCACTACTGGCTGGAAGTAACTCTAAGCTGACGGGTTTCTCCCTGCTTTAACCCAGCCCATTGAAACGAGGCAGGATTACAGCTGAGTCTGGACAATCCTTTACTGCGTGCATGATGACACCATGACATCCGCTTCCTGCCCGCTCAAGGGTATGTTGATCCTTAGATTCTTCTTTGTCAGACGGATTTACGTCGTGATGCCCTAATTGCTTCGTTAGCAGTGACGTCACAAAATATGATTTCGGTTTAACTAGGAACCGCTTATTTCAAGAGGCTAGTAGTCTATGAAGATTATATAACGCATCTTTCGATATTTGTTTTCTTTTGGGAATTTTTAAACTCTAATAACCGAACAAATTTGTGGGCTAAACAATATCTGGCTTACCATCATGCACTAACATTTTTGGTATACTTGTACGTCAAATTTACTATACTTTGGTTATTCTCGAGTAGTGCTATCATCTTACGAGTCTATTATGCTTATTGACTAACATTTGTCTATGAATTTTAGCCGATAACACAAACAATTCTAATACGTCTAGTACGAATGGTATATCGCAACGCAAATGATAGCTAAGTTATCAACGGAAGCACTGCGATACAACTTACCCAATTTTGTAAGGTAGCGTGATCCTTGTCATAATTTTGCCAGATGTCCGCTTTGTTTGAAGAGCTGTACGCGGATCTCCATGACAACTGATCACTTTTTCGGGAAGAAAAGCCCCGAAACCTGCGGCGTGAACCACTAGAATTTGATAATAAACGCGAAGATCTGACCAATATTAATTGAAACTTTTTACGGGAAATTCGGAAGCAATTTAGGTAATTAATACAAAAACAGAACACTTATAATGCAGGTACTTCGGTGTACTCGACTGTTGTTTAAATAAGGATGAACAATAATTTTTTCTAAACATGTGTTTGTTTCCTTGGCTATTTATTCTAGACGTATCTGGATGTAAGCAAAAAGTCCTGCTTCTCCACAGGATTCACCACCGGATAATTGGGTCGTATCTCTATTGGTTTTAACAGCTATACCAATATAGGTATCATACGTCAACTACTAGTGCTTCCTATTCTCTATCATCTTAATCTACTGAGTCTTCCGCGAATATCTCTACCATTTACTAGATTTTTATAGCGTACAATACTAAATTCACAACAGCTGTCTTAAGGTTGCGTTTTAAGCGAAAAACATTGAACTGAAGCTTACATATCATCTAAAAACAAAACCTTTAATTTATACATTACACGAGCTAATCATCTCATGAACAACGTATACGAGAGAAAACTAACATGAGTTTTGCAAATAGCCACTCCAATGTAAACTGGCCGCTTTATAAGAAAGTGTGACTGTCTCATTTCCAGCAGTCGTCGTCGTCGTCGACGTCGACGGCAAAATTCCAGTCGTGCGTTCGGGTCCTGTATCTTTGTGTATGTGTGTCTGAATAGAAAGCCGAAGTATATCATCGTTCGGGGTCCATGCGTCTTCTCCTTCATCGCTTCGTAGCGTCACGCAGTGCCTGTGCCGAAGCGACGAGGCCCTGCAGAGACAAGCTGTCAACCTCAAGTAAGCAGCTAACATCGGCGTTCAGCATAGCGAATATACTTCGCGAGAAGGCTCCAAAAGCTCTAGCAGTTATTATAGCCACAAACCGACTATGGTATGCGACAGGCTCTTTGTTCCCCATGGTACGCGCACACGTCCGGCGGCCTGAGAAGAGAGAGACACGTAACGCTCTTACATGCTCGAACAGAAAGACAGTCAGTCGAGTAACTCTACTATTCGCTATAGCAATTTACCGCCGTCGTCGTCGTCGTCGGCGCCGCTTTAACACAACAGCAAGCTGCCACTATTGTCACAGTGGAAGAGGCAACTTTCAAGTATATCATCCGAAACGCCAACTCACATTTAGCGTGGGGCCGGTGGTGCTCCATGCAGAGGGTGCTACTAGTTGGAACATTAGAAAAGGGATTTACAGGGGGTGAATATATTGCAGAAGCAGGGGGAAGGCAACGACAACGCCAACGGCGACGACAGTACAGACGATGACGATTACAATACCAAAGCGATACGCGTTAAAAAAAGTCTTAAGTGCACTTCCAGAATCCAAGTCCTGTACGTTGCGGTTAGTGAGAACTTGTCTATCCAGACATCTAAAGTTAAAACCAATCTTAACTTACCTATAACCTTGCTCCTTCACATTCCTAGTATTGCTTGTTTTTCATAGTGTTTGGTTGCAATAGGAGCGGCCACGTAGTGACGGGAGTTCAGTATGAATGTAAAGACCTCGTGGAAGCTGACTGCCAGCAAGTGGAGTGCATTGGGCGACTGTATAGTAGAAGCACGACGACCGTTGTTACTATCTAAGCTCGTGGCGATCGTCGCTAGGTGCCGTTGGATTGGCCTGACAAACAGAGTTCAAAATCTATAATTTTAATCATGAAAAAAAAATGATATAGCCGAGTTAGAATTCTCTTTCTTAGAATATATAATATTTTTATAATTTTTAATATAAAGATGCATCAATGGTATGAGTGTTTCGCGAATGCCATGCTCTAACGTTGGGTGACAAAACAGTCTTTTGTTGAACTACAACACTACGGTGCTTATCCTCACGAGCATCATACGTCTGAAAGCCTCGAACAGCAATGTCTAGTGGTTTCATTCGGGAAAAAAAAAAACAGTATATTGATGGAAGCGTATAAGAATAGCTTTGGAAAAAACCGGCGGCGACGCTGCTCTCCGGATTCTAATGCGTACACTACTTGCTATAGCCTCACTCTTAAAAACGTCAACGTTTTTGAGCTTTCGGTCAACTGTAAAGAAGCGACCTTGCTAAACGTTAGTTTGGGCAACCATTCTAGGAACAGCCGACAAAGAAAGGAATGGTCGACAGAAGCTGCTTTTCAATCCAATTCGATAAACCAGCTTAATAATCATCTATATTATTTTCGCAACAGTTACACACAGGTAGGACATCTTCCGTACACTCTTTTTAAAGCACAAAGTGATTAATTTTTTTCACTAGAACGAATATACAATGATGTTCCCCCTTCAGCTTCTACTGCCGGCTTGATTCTTTTTGTTCTACATGCTTCAGCGGAAAGCACTAGCTAAACGGCACTAGTGGCAACAGCAGGAAGCAAACGCCGTTTCTTGTATAAAGTCAGTGCGTGTTGTTTGCTTCCTTCCACAAGCTAAATTTCTTCCGGCGTACGCAGAAGAAGAGCCCTGCAATGGCTGCTCTTTGCCGGACAGCTGCTCTACCAGAATATGTTTGTTCTCGTTTGTCGTCCGGCTGATGTCTGCGACTAAAGTTGGCCTTTTAACGTCTCTCAGTGGTCGCACTTGCTGACTAAAGCGCTGCCTTGCTTTATGTTCCATCGATGAGCGAGAATTGCTTCTTCTGGCATCGCTGCCATTACTTCTGCTTCCTCTCCCTGCAGTCTCTTACTGTCGCTGCAACACTTCTGCCGGTTTTGCTGTTGTCGTCCATAGAGGTTGAAGTGGGAAGAAATGGAGCTATAGTCACTTCAGCTTTTAGTGCGCTCGGCGCCCCCGTGTACGTCACCACAACGTAAATAGAGACATGTGCTACGGGCCAGTGGACAACATGACAAAAGGCGATAGAGGGTAGAACGGCGACGGATGCGGCGCCGAAGCCCACAGCAGTTGCAATGGACGACAGACCTGCCGACCATTAACCATCTTTCTGCGACCGTCAAATGCAAAAGCACTAGAACTTACGGTAAAGTACTACTCTCGCCTGCAGCTAGCTTTCTACTTTTAGATAGACTTCTATCGGTGCTGGTGCTGCAGTTTTTTTTTTACTTCTTTTTTCCTTCGAAAGCAAGGTCTGAACGCGCGTCGCGGGCCGGTAGCCTTACGAATAACGAATCAGGTACCTGTATTTTTACTTGGGTCCTGTGCCAAACTCGACAAAACTTTGTGGCTAGAACAGGCTAATAGAAAGTGAGTCAGGATGACAAAAAGGAAGCGGTGATTCCCATACCTCGCCATGCTGAAATTTGCATCCACCGCCTGAGGTGCTCGGTGGGGTTTCGAAAGGTTTGATCAGTCCTCGCCCACAAAACGGCACTTAGTTTTTAATTTATCGGAATGCATAAGTGCGTTTAAGTTTGAAATAAGTAACGCTTTTGTGAAAAGTTGTGGCCAATAGCGCTAAATAAAAGAAACTGACTATTATGCAGATGAGGAGATATAACTCGAACAACAGTAACCTTGAGTCAATAAAAACGACGTTTAAAACAAATCAGTTCAGTAAGTTTCGTTCCCGTGATAGCTTAGTGGGTAGCGTATTTGCTTGCTAATATTAAGGACGCTTGCGGTATAAGTTCGAATCCGCCCATAGACACACATCGTTTCATGGTAAGAGCTTATCGTCTGTCTGATGCCATGCTTAACGGCGATACCGGACGTAAAACCTGAAGCATAGAGGATATTGGAACTAAATAGCTTTCCTCCTCCCAAAGTAATAGTTGCCTTCGCGGGAAGGGATGGCTCAGAAGGTTGATAGTCGTCGGCTGGGCTTCGTGTCTATCTGGTATATAGACGCACTTTGTTTCACACTGGCAGTCCGCCGCCTGATAAAGTACCTAACGACGGTATCGGACGTACCCCTGAAAATATTTAGATCTTGCTTACATGCTTACCGAATAATTGCAAGTAGGTAACTTCTAGAATTTTATTACATAATGTGAATTGCTGAGATAAGAAATAACATTCGATGCGTAAATGCCCTTTATTGTTTGCTGATCTGCTAACATTATGTTTTTTTACCGATTTTTCGACATTTTGCGTCTTTGAGTTTTTTTTTGATCTGGTATAATAAACACTTTTAACGAGTAAACAAGTACTTGGTTAGCGGATGCAGCTTATGCGCCCCCGTTATGAAGTCACATAATGACAGGAGATACTCGAACAAGTTTCACGACAATAATTCAGTATGGTGCTGTAGATAACATTTGAACATCATTATTTATCTTGACGATGAAGCTAAGTAGATCTATGAAACTCTTGCGGCCAAACGATGAGCTGTTCGTAGGCGGAGCGTATCGGCTTATTGGGAGATTACAGACAACGATGTCTGCAATGGAGATCGTGGAGCAGCCGCGTAAATATAACATTATAAATTAGATTTTTTTACCTAATTATTTAATCATACCTTCGTCAAGGAAATCGTAGCGGACCTATTTTAAGGCAGCTTCAGAGACTTCATAAGCAAGGACCATACATAACATAAACACTAATTGACTCAAGTTTTATCACTTACCATTTTGTCATGATAATTTCCACAAGCCGAAGTATCTCACAAATATTTGTCCTAGTAGGATAATATCTATAGGTGTCCAATAAAAAGCGCTCGTTCTTTGCGGCGAACGAGCCGTGCGTCTCTATCCGTGGAGAAGTTGACGTATGAAAATATCGATCGGCCAAGGGAGCCAAACAACGAAAGAATCAGAAATGAAAAGGGGAGGCAAGAAGCTGAAAAGCGTGAATCTAAAATGTGGAACGTCGAGTAAAACGAGGCAATCGTATCAGGTGACAAAAGTAGGGGAAGTCGACGAGAAGAAAAAGAGCAGGCAAACGACGATTCGGAATGAGTGTAGAGTAGAGTTCGCCCGTCTATGAAACGTCTGAAAGCGAAAATGTCGAATTGGTGTCAACGGCACTAGGACCAAAACTGACACAAGCCACCCTTCACGTTGTGCTCGCACGCTTGAACGAACCGAACGGTGCCATCTAGCGAGCAACCAACTCACAAAGGTCCTTAGTCCCATCACTTCTGTTCTTGGTGGCGTGCCAATCCTGCAACTTGGCAGGCCTAGCCGCTCCGTCTCCGGCTCGTCCGCTAGATATCCAGTTTAGGCCAAGGGGAGACCGAAAACCAGACACCTCTCTTTTGTTTTCAGTTACTGCGCTAGTACGTGAATAGCTTCTTTGCTTTTTCGCTCCTTAGCGAGTCAGAGTGGAAGGAGTCTCTGAAGTGCCAGCAGAATCATTTATCTCCTTTTTTTTTTCCAGAACACGGAAGGAGTCAACAAGTCAGTAGGAAAAGGACGAAGGAACTGTAACTCAAGCGAGCTGACGCAGGCGCAGCTACAGTCAACGTTCGAAAGGTGCTAGTCGCCTGCTGCTTCGCCACCACGAGCCACCAAAGTAGGTCGTGGCCTAAGCTAAGCCGCTATAGACGCGGCACGGAAACGAAGACCAAAAGACTAGAGCAAACAAAAAGGTCCTTTTGTTTTCTGTTGATTTACCAAAATGCTAATCTTGAGCGAAGGGGTCCGAAACCTATTTAAAGTATCAAGGCAATGAAGCAATAAAAAGAAGAAAAATAAAAACACGACAATAGAAAAATATTGAATAGTCAATTTAGTTTTACTTTAAAGAATATTTTGTAACCGTTCAGAGAAGTAGGCGTTGAAGAAGTAGTTTAAGCTAGTCCGTAACGTAAACACAACTATAAAGTAGTTTAGATATCGGCATATAGAAAACATACTCTGAACGTCTTTTATAACGGAAAACATAATCGAAGAGCACTACACAAACAGGAGTCAATTGATGAAAGTCAATATTACAGCGTATGATAAAATACGTTATTTTATTAAGGGTCGTGAATATTTCTTTATAATACTTAGGTGTTAATTGCTTATTTCAACACAATACAAAAGTAGTAGCGGAAATAAATACAAATCCGCATGGAGAATGCAACAATTTCCAAGCTAAATTTTGCGTTAATGATTTGTCATGTTTTTTCTTTCGTCTAGTCAATGGTATGGGTCGCTGTCGTTAGCTATTCGCTTCCTGTGTGGCGGTCGTCTGCTTAACCATGGTCGCTCAGGCTCGACGGTGTCCACGTTTGAAGCTTTCAAGGGCTGACCATTCTCTATGCTTCGCTCATCATCTATTAATAATATAACACGCCTTAACGCGGCGCCCGACTTCCAGTGCAGACAGCTGTTTTGCCACTTTGTAGAGAACTTATTTGCAAGCCATGCACGTCTTCCGGACGACACAGTCCCGAAGTGCCTGAAAAGTGGCGGAACACTAAGTGCCTTACTGCCACCGAATGCCGGCCTGATTCTCACAAGAGGCTTATTTTGTGCGTTCAAAAATGATAGACTTCGCTCAATGGGATCCAACAATGAGTCGAACAAACTTCCAGGTTACCTGGCTTCTTAATGTTCGCGTGAATAGTAAGGTGAAGATAGAATTATCGACTTGTAGCCGTAGCACGAAATAGGAAAAGATCCACAGTTATATACAGGGAAAACGAATAAATTACTCGACGTTATTATAAAGCAGAGCTGTGATAGATAAACGATCTATTTTTGTTCACCCCAATGTATTAATTTGACAGTTCTTGCTATATATATATAT